CGCTGTCCTCTCCTCACCATTTGGTGTCTTCTGTTTCTTTTCTAGATAATGTCCAGAGTTTTAAGCTTTACTTACCATGAAAAATAGAGAGAAGTACTTCTACTCAGTATCTTCAATAGAAAGTGTTTTTTTAATTTTCAAATATTTGTCTTTTTTTAAAAAGTCTTAATGTTATTGATTTCTAATTTAATTCCTATTTGGAGAACAAAGTTTTAATTTTTTTAAGTTTATTTACACTCATTTCAGGACCCAACCTATGATTTATCCTGATTAAATGTTTCATATGTGTTTGAAGATAATGTTTTCTTTTTCGGTCGGTTCTACAGATGGGAGTTGATTCATGTTGGGTGATAGTATTGCTCAAGTCTTCCATTTTCTCTCTTATGTTATCTAGTTGTTCTATTGATTACTGAGAAAGGAGTGTTACTGTCCACCTGTAATTGTGGATTTGGTTATTTCAGTTTCTGTAGGATTTGCTTCATGTTTCTTGGAGTAGAAAATGTAAATCTCAAATATCTTGAGATGGAAAAACACTGAGGGTGGTTATGTCCTCTCAATGAATTATTTCCTTTATCATTATTTGGTATTTCTCTTTATCCCAGACAACATTTTACCTGATATTAAATTCTTGAATTTGACTTTGATATTAATAAAGCCACTCAGACTTTTTTTTAGTATGTTTGCATGATATCTTTTTTATTCCTTTTATTTATAACTTATCTGTGTCCTCATAGTTAAAGTGGATTTCTTATAGACATCATGAAGTTGGTGCTATATTATGCTGAATGTTTTCTCCCCCCAAAACTTGTATGTTGGAATTTTGACTCCCAAGGTGATGGAGTTAGGAGGTGGGGCCTTTGGGAGGTGATTAGATCCTGAGGGCAGAGCCCTTGTGTATTCAATTGGTGCCCATATAAACGACTCCTGAGAGAGATCCCTTCCCTTTCCACTGTGTGAGGACACAGTGAGAATTTGTCCGTCTGCCACCTGGAAGAGGTCCTCACCCGAACCTGACCATGCTGGCATCCTGCTCTTAGACTTCCCAGATGTGGAACTGTGAGAAATAAGTGTTTGTGTTTATAAGCCACCGAATTTATGGTATTTTGTTATAACAATCCAAACAGACTAAGAGAAAACAGGCTAAGACAGGTCTTGCTTTTGTATTCATCCTGTCAGTCTCTGCCTTTTAATTACAATGATTAGACCGTTTATGTTTACTGATATTATTGATAAAGATGTGTTTAAATATGTTATGTGGCTATTTGCTAACAGTTTTTCACATCTGTTATTTTTTTCCTTTTTTTCACTTTTCCTGCCTTCTTTGGATTGGGTGTTTTTAATGATTCCATTTTATCTATGTTATGATCTATTAGCTATGCCTCTTTCGTACATGTATGTGTTGCTGTAGCATTTACAATATACATCATTAACTTGTCACAGTCTACCTTCAAATAATTTGTTCATGTATATTATAAGAATCTTATAATAATTTTCCACATTTTATCTTTCATTTTTTGTGCTGTTGTTGTCATGTATTTTACTTACATATATATTATAAACCCCACAATACAGTGTTGTTGTTTTAAAAGATAATTTGCCATTTAAAGAAAAGAGTTCTAAAAAGGAGAAAAGTGTATTTTATTTTTATTCTAGTTATTTTATTCTTTCCTCTAGTTTGTGGTGTTCTTTTTCTCTGTAAATTTATTTGTGTAAATCCAAATTTCCACTTCTTTTTTTTTTTTCCTGTATGGAAAATTTCTTTTAACTTCTCTTGTAACACATATCAGTTGGTGATAAATTCTTTCAGCTTTTGTTTTCCGAAACATATTTGCAAAGTATAGAATTGTAGGTTGATTTCTTTTCCCCAGTACTTTAAAAGTGTCACTTTCTGGTCTTCGGCTTGCACAGTTTCTGCTGAGAACTCACCTTAAACCCTTATCTTTGTTCCTCTTTACAGATTATGTGTCTTTCTGTGTATGATTTTCCCTTTATCACTGTTTTTCAGCAATTTCATTGTAATGGACCGTGCTGTGGGGTTTTTTTTATGTTTCTTCTCCGTGTCCTCTGGGATCTGAGGGTTTATAAACCTAATCAAAGTTGGAACATTTTGGCCACTGTTTTTTGTTGTTTTTTGTCTTTTGTCTTTTTTCCGTGTCCGGCAACGGATCGCAACCCTCAGTGTTGCCCCCGTACCGGACCAGGGACCGGCAACGGGATCGCAACCCTCGGTGTTGCTCCCACGCCCCGCTCAGCCAGTGAGCGGGAACCGGTCCGTATGTGGGATCCGAACCCTTGGACGGGAGCGCCGCCGCGCTTCCCAAGCGGCGCACTATCCAGTGCGCCACCGGGCCGGCCCTTGGCCACTGTTTTTAAAAAATTTCTCTCCTCCCTTCTTTCTTCTGGAATGCTGAGTATATATGTTTTAGACTATTCGACATAACTCCTTTTCTTATTTTCCTGTCTTTATTCACTATGAATTTCTTCTTTCATAGTTTTCATTGCTATGTCTTAACACCATTCATCTGTCTTATGCTGTTTATCTGTGTGTTGTCTGTACTGGCATTAATCCTAAATCCAGTGTTTTCTTGTTTGGTTGGTTTATTTTTTCATTTTAGGTATTATATTTTTCATATCTAGAATTTCAGTTTGGAACTTATTTTGATAACTTCCCTTTTTTCTTCTCAACATGTTCATGTTTTTTTTCTCTTCTTCAGCATGTGGAGTATAACTTCTGTTTTAATGTCCTTAATTGGTAATTTTATCATTATGTGTCATTTCTTATTCTGTTGCTACTGATTGACTTTTCTTCTTGGTAAGAGTCATATATCAGGTGGGTAGAGAGTGGTGATGATAAAACCAGTGTCAAAGGTTCGATCCCTGTATCAGCCAGCTGCCAAGAACAAAAAAAGAGTCATTTGTCCCTGCTTCTGTTCATACCTAGTAATTTCTTTTGGTTGCTGGATATTGTGAATTTTACATTGTTAGGTGCTAGACTTTGTTGTATTTTTTTTTTTTTTTTTGGTTGCTGGATATTGTGAATTTTACATTGTTAGGTGCTAGACTTTGTTGTATTTTTTTTTTTTTTAAATATTTTTTGGCCTTTTCTGGGATGTAGTTATGTTACTTGGAATTAATTTAATTTGTTCAAGGTTTGGGGGTATTTTTGGCAGCTGGCTAGTAACAGTGGTCAAACCCTGAACCTTCGTGTTATCAACACCGTGCTCTACCCAGCTGAGCTAACCAGCCAGCCTCAAGGTTTATTTTAAGATTTGTTACATGGGATTCAAAGCTCACTTTAGTCTAAAACTGATTTGGCCCCTCTAGTAAGGCAGTACCCTTCTGGTTGTTCTACTTAATATGTCGTGAATTAGGAGGTTTTCCTTCCCTGTCTGGTGGTAACATAAACTTTTTACCTCTGTGTATGCTTTTGGTGATTTTTCAGCCTATTTTTTTTCATTGGTCTTTCCTCAACCTCAAGTGGTTTTCTTATGTGCTTACACAATCGGTACTCAGGAGACCCCTTCTACAGATTTCCAAGATTCTGTGTCAGCACAGCTCCTTCTTTTCTGGTATTTTAACCCACAGTTATGGCACCCGTGGCTTCCTTAAACATCTGGTTCTGTTTCCTCCACTGACCGAACCCACCAGGCTCTGTTTTGGTGGTCTCTCTTTCTGCCATGGGTTGGGAACTCTGTCAGCGGTAACCTGTTGTAATCCCAGGGCTCACCTCATTTGTTTCTAGCCTCAAAGTCCCTGTCTGCACTGCCTTTTGTCTAAAGTATAAATGCCATTGCATATATTTTGTGGGTTTTTTTAGATGTCTGATATGGAGAGGTAAATCAGTGCCTTTTACTCTGTATGGCCAGATGTAGATGTCCCCATGAAGTATCTTATTTGAAACCCAAGTCATTGACTGTTTTACAGTTTAATGTTATATCGGCTTGCAGTTCAGGGATTTAAGGAGAGTAATCATTTAGGAGCATAAGAAAATGTTTTTGGGGGAGAGAAAAAAATGTTTTTTTGTTGTCAGTTCCCCGGAAAAAGGTACAGTGAGCACCTTCAGTGTGCCGCTTGTGAAGCTGTGCCTTCCTTCACACTCAGGGACAGCAGAACCTGTGCAGCTAACTCTAAGTTCTGAATGATCTCCCATATACAGGGAACTGCTTTACAAAACCAGAACTGATCTTCACACTGGAACAAGGAGGAGATCCATGGTTATTAGAGAAAGAGAAAGAATTTCTAAACAGGAGCTCCTTTGGTGAGTTGTTGAACACTGGCAGAAGGTTCACTGATTGGCTAGGAGGATTCACACATCTCAGCGTATAGTCACATTTATGGCTAAAATTTATAGAGTGAAAGGATACAAAGCAAAATGAGCAAAGAAAAAAGGTGCGTGGGGCAAAGTCCAGAGGAAGCCAGGCACAAGCTTCCAAGAGTTGATACAGGACACACCTCATGCCCCCAGCAATGAATTGTGGCAGCACATGTGAAATGTTGTCTACCCAGAAAGTGCCAAGGGTTTTTACGGGCTGCTCACGTAGGCACCCTCTGTCTAACATATACCAAAATCCCAAACTTTCAAATGGAAAGTAAGGGTTTAGCATAAGTCATATTGTTTGTACAAACAGTTTTGGCACAATGAGCCCCTCTTAGAAGTTGTAGGAGTTGGGAAACCTCTCAAAATCTAAGTTCCCAAATGCCAGCAGGGGCTAACCTTGAAAGCAGGCCTTTCTATGCATACCCAAGGCATAATATAGGCATAATATATTTGCCATATCAACCAGTGTAAGGGGATTAAGTTCACATCTTAAGAGAAAATGCTATCAGATGGTATCAGAGATTGAAAATAATTTGGGAAGTTCAAAATAGGGTTATGAGTTGTTAAGGCAATAAACATAAAAATAATTGTGTTTCCTTATCTAATTCAGATCAAAATCAGGTCAAAAAACAGATGAGAAGAGGGGCATTTTAATAACTCTAAAAATAAATTTAAAAGGATTATAAACATTTTTAATATTTTTGCACCAAATAAATATCATAAAAAACTGCAATAGTTGTAAGGAGAAGTAGGAACATTTTAGATGTTGTGGACTTTAATGTTTCTCTCTGATTTCATACCAGATCAACAACTGAGACTCAAGAGTAGTGCTCAGCAAACTACAGCCTGGTAGGTCAAGTCCTACCAGCTGCCTGTGTTGGTAAAGAAAGAGTTACCAGAACATATCCATATCCGTTCACTTGTGGGTTCATGCTGCAAGGCATAGTTGAGTAGCTGCAGCAGAGACCATATGACCAGCACAGCCTAAAACATCGACTCTCTGGCTTTTTACTCAAAAAGTTTACTGACCCCTGCTCTAGAAGTTATAAGTAGCATCTTTTATAAAGTGAATCTAACGGTCTTTAAAAACTACTCTGAAAACAACAAATAAACCTTCTTTTAAATGACCTTGGAACATTGACATAATGTAAAAGTATTTTAGGAAAACAACAATAAATTCTACAAAAGGAGACATTTTTGTTTAATAAAACTATAAATTGCAAACAATATGAGAAAAATCTAAATTCCTGTATTTTGAAATCAATAACAAATATTTGTCTTTGAAAACATATTTGATCAAAGAGTAAATCAAAATCAAAATTGTTCAATATTCAGAAAATTTTTAAAATGAAAAGCATGGGTTTTAGAATTTTTGGACTTTAAAGCAGTGCTTAAAATTTTTAGTCTCATATACTTGTTTTAAAAACCAAAAAAGTTTTCAAAGAAAACTAAGCAAAGCAAAAGATGTGATAAAGATAAAACTATGATGGTATAAACTATAAAGCCAAAACACAGTTCTTAGAACAAAAACAATTAAATAGCTAACCTCAGCTAGAAAAAGGAAAGAAAGCACTATTACTCATGTTAAATTTCAGCTCAGATTGCTACATCCATAATATAATATAATCTTAGAATACTTTAGCCTGTACTTTCTCTCTTCCTTTTGTAAACTCTTAACCCACTTGATTGGATGTGTCAAAAGGAAATGAAAGTCTGCGCCAGAGAGCATGCAGTTATTGAATGAGCTGTTTTCTCCATCTGGACTATAATCTACCGAAAAAGAATGGTATTTCTTTCACTCTTTCATACTCTGGTATGTGACATGTTTTTTAAAAATATGTGGATTAGCTCCAAAGCCAGTTGGGAGAGGTATTTAATATTGATTCATTCAGGAAACACTGTCCCTAAGTCCAGATGCCCAAAGTACAACCAAGAAAGAGAAAACACCCATTTAACTATGTACTTGTCATTGATTTTAAGATGCCTCCTGATTTCAGTGATGGTAATTTGCTTAAAAAATCATGAGTCTCTGATATGTGAGTGCTTTTTATGTGACCCTTGTTAAAATGAATAATACAGGCAGTAAGTATTTTCAAAGTTTAAGTAAATGTTGCTTGAATTTGTGGGAAGATTTCGAAGAAGTCTTTTTTTTTTTCATTTCTTTGTTTTTCCTTTTTTTTTTTTTTCTTTTTGGTTTGGGAAATAGCTTTACCCTGCCTGAAGAGCATCTTGAGTCTATAGAGTTCTAAGGCAGGAACGCAGGATGATTTAGGGAAAGAATGTGAGTGTAAGATTATTGCAGCAAATAAACCATTTTGTTCATTGAGGGGACTGATTCCTGTCATGACTAGAGCAGAAAATACTGTGAACCCAGGGGAGTAGAAGCTGGAACACATAATGATCATGCAGTTAGTGCAAAACTGTCTTTTCCTGAATTATGTCTCTTAAATCTTTTACCTGTTGGTACTGCAGCAGTGTATTAAAGGCCTTTGGATATTTTTTAGCACAGGCCTGATATTTTTTCATAGAATGCGGATAGCGCAGGGCAATAGCAGTCACATACACACAAGAAATTTATGATAAATAAGTATTAAGGATGCTGGTAAAGTTTCTAGGGCCAGGTTGAAACACATGATCCTTAAGGTTCTCGGAGTCTATAAAAACTAGATATGTTTAAAAAGTAGGTGGAAAGCAGAACTAATAAGAATTGGACAGGGGCAAGACCGGACTTTGGAAAACAAGTGAGCAAGATGACAGGAGGAAAGTTAGGATTTGATGATCTAGAGAGATTCACTGTTGAACAGCCTTGACAAAAATAGCCAAGGCACCGGAGCCAGGGTACAGCAGTGAACCTAGTGTAGGTGGGAAATGACTTTAACTCCCTTTAGTTTTATACTTCCACGTCCACATCCATGTTCCTGTGATGATGCCACAGGGAGAATTAAAGCATGGCCTGCAGGGATAGTCCTTCCTACATGAGGAAAAATGTTGGTGCCATTATAAATTTATTTTGGTGTTGATGTGTAGAATAGAAAAAATTGAGCGCCAACTGGAATCATGTAGGCTAATGACTGTCCTACCGTTGTGATCTGTATTTGACCAAGAGTCTAGACTCTAGTGTTACTCTTTAATGCAAACCCTGTCTCAGGTAAATCCACTGAAATCCCTTCTCCATTGATTTTGCTGTTGTTGTTATTTACTTAGTGCAGATAATCTTTGCTGAATGTATCCCATTCTCTAACTTCCCTGTTTCTGGGATCTAACTCTCTTAAATATACTCTATTTCAAGTGTTACTTTTCTTTATATCCTCTTCTTTACTCAGTTTTTTAAATTATAAGATGCCAGATACACATGTGTATTCATTTCTAGTTTCCTCTCTTTCTACTATAAAAAGGTTTTTTAAAAACAAAAAAAGGGAACACAGAAAATATACACTTGGAGTTACCTTATTGTTGGGAAATGGAGCCAGAAACCAAGGAATCAAATACATAATAGGGTTGGTGTGTATAAGTCCCATTCCATAAGAAGTGTTAAGTATCATAAAGTATTTTTAATTTTTTCATTTTTAGAGGACTCCCAGCCTAATGAACTCTCAGAGAAGAGCCCAGAAAACAAAGGAAAACGTTTGTGGCAAGTTTTATTCACCAACAAATCATTGACTACACAGCAAGAAATTTCAGGAAAACCATGTAATCTGGATATAAATGTTTTTCCTGCAAGAATGATGCCCTGTAAATGTGACGCTGCAGGGCCTACTTACCTGGTTCTCAGCCCATGGGCCCCACACTGTCAATATTCAAGAGAAAATTGTGAGCTTAACTTATGCGAGAAGTGGTTCCTCAGTATTGAGCATGGCAGAACTAATACTGGAGAGAAATCTTTTGTTTTTAGTAAAAATATGAAAGTTCTTGGTCATGAGAAAGTTATGCAACATCAGACAATTCAGACTTTGGGGCAAGCTCTTGAATATAATGAAAAAGGAAAAGCTTTCCTTGAAAAGGCTGCCCTCATTACATCTAAGAGTACCCACCAAGAAGAGAAATCTTATAAGTTCACTAAATTTGGGGAAAACCAATGTGATAAATCAACATATGTCACCACTCAGAGCATTCATCCAGAGGAGAAGGGTCAATGTGAGTTTAATGAACATGGAAATAGTTTTAGTAGGACCACTCAAAAAACTGACACAGTAGGGAAAATTTTCAGCCAAAAATCACACATTAGAGAACATCAGAGAATTTGCGTAGGTGTGAAACAATTCGAATGTGGAAAAAATTTGAGTTGTAATTCAGCCTTCCATGTACATCAGAGAATTCACACAACAGATAAATCCTCTGCTAATAACACATGTACAGAGACATCCAGCTGTCAGTCAACTTTTAATGCGCATCAAAGAATTCACATAAGGGAGAAACCCTATGAATGTAATGCATGTGGAAAATCCTGTGCTATGAACTCACACCTGACGCGACCTCAGAAAAGTCTCACAGGGAAGAAACCCTATGAGTGTCGTGAATGTGGGAAAGCTTTCAGTGAGAAGTCACGCCTAAGAAAACATCAGAGAACTCACACAGGAGAGAAACCGTATAAATGTGATGGATGTGAGAAAGCTTTCAGCGCTAAGTCAGGTCTACGGATACATCAGAGAACTCACACAGGGGAGAAGCCCTTTGAATGTAATGAATGTGGGAAATGTTTCAACTATAAGTCAATCCTCATAGTACATCAGAGAACGCACACAGGCGAGAAACCTTTTGCATGTAATGAATGTGGGAAATCTTTCAGCCATATGTCAGGCCTACGGAATCATCGGAGAACTCACACAGGGGAAAGACCATATAAATGTGATGAATGTGGGAAAGCTTTCAAACTGAAGTCAGGCCTAAGAAAACATCATAGAACACATACAGGGGAGAAGCCCTACAAATGTAATCAGTGTGGAAAAGCTTTTGGTCAGAAATCACAACTCAGAGGACATCATAGAATTCACACAGGGGAGAAACCCTATAAATGTAATCATTGTGGGGAAGCTTTTAGTCAGAAATCAAACCTCAGAGTACACTGCAGAACACATACTGGGGAGAAACCCTATAAATGTGACGAGTGTGGAAAAACTTTCAGGCAGAAATCAAATCTCAGAGGGCATCAGAGAACTCACACAGGGGAGAAACCCTATGAATGTAATGAATGTGGAAAAGCTTTCAGTGAGAAGTCAGTCCTAAGAAAGCATCAGCGAACTCACACCGGGGAGAAACCTTATAATTGCAGTCAGTGTGGGGAAGCTTTCAGTCAGAAATCAAACCTCAGAGTACATCAGAGAACTCACACGGGGGAGAAACCTTATAAATGTGATAAGTGTGGGAAAACTTTCAGCCAGAAATCAAGCCTTAGAGAACATCAGAAAACCCACACAGGCGAGTAAGTATATTAACATAAGGAATATGGGGAAACTTTGAACCAGAAATCAAACCTCATGATACATAATGCACAGGTGAGCATGCCTATAAACATAGTGAACATCGGAATTTCCTGTGCACAATACCACCCTTCACCAAACAGCACAGAACTTACACAGGAGAGGATTCTTGAAATATACTTCATCTGGGCAGTCTTTCAGCCATAGTGCAGACATCGTTGGATATCAGAGAATTCACCCAGAAAGAAACCCTATTAAGATAATGAATATGGAAAATACTCTGTGAACTCAATCCTCAGAAAACTCATGCTGCAGAAAAGCTCTGAGAAAGTAATAAAGATGTGGAATTTTTGTGCAAGCAGTCGAAGCTCATTCATCATCAGAGGAGTCACACAGTGAGAAAACCTAGAATGTAATAAATGTGTGAAACCTTTAGCCAAAGGCCAGCTTTCTCAGTGCAGCAGAAAACACAGAGGATGAAGACCTAATAGTATGCCAAAACACACAAGAAATAAAGGTGATGGATTTGAGAAATCCTTTAACCATAAGTCAGCCCTCTCTGACTTACAGAGGCAGTCCCTGTATTCACATAGTAGCTATTGAAATGTTCACTGATAACCATTTCCTTTTCTCCCTCGTGCCACACCTAGTCTAAAATTCTCAACCACCCTGTCATCCAAATGGGGTGATATCATTAACCTCTAGCTAATGGAATGACAAGTCTCGTTAAATACATCCCTCAAATTCTCAATATTTTCTCCCATCCATCCCTCATCAGAATGCAACCAGGGTCAAAGAATGACTCTGAAATGAAGTTTTTCCTCCATGTACACAGTTGGACTTTTTGCAGCAAGAAAATAAACTTGTTCTCTGTTGAGGTTCCATGGGTTTGTGGGTTCTTGATACTGACATAAACTCACCAACCCTCACTTAATAAATATGAACATGATTTCTGTGGACATCTGAACTCTGAGAAAAGTCACACAGGAGATCAACCTGTGACAATGTCCTGAATGACCGTAGCTTTTATCCTCAATTCTTCCTTCTCAGGTAAATATTGGGCAAAGAAATCCAACATTTCAACACATACAGGAAATCCCTTATCAAAAAATATCTCATTAAAGATCTGATAATTGAGTTTTAAATGTGTGAAAGTTTGAATGAATCATCTAACTTTACTGTCTCTCAAAGTTTGTTACAAGGAAAAAATCTATCAGTTTGAGAAAGGTGAGTAATAGCCTTTATCTAAAGATTTTATCAAATTGTTGATGTATTTCATATGTAGTATCAAAACATTTAATGAAATATATTAGTTCACAGACATTCACTGGAATAGAAAGCTTTAAAGGTGAGTAATAGCCTTTATCTAAAGATTTTATCAAATTGTTGATGTATTTCATATGTAGTTATCAAAACATTTAATGAAATATATTAGTTCACAGACATTCACTGGAATAGAAAGCTTTTAAAAACAAGAAATAAATTGCATAAACTGAACAACAGCAGAGAGTGTATGTGCATATTTTCTGAGTTGTCCACTGCTTATGTGCGTGCCACTTACCAGGTGTTTGTTTTATATGAGTATTGGAACTCATCATCGTTATAATAGAACTATGTACCCTTTGCTTAATGGCTGTTCTCACATCAACTACAATTGGCCACATGTGTATTAATAATAAATAAACCTTCTACAGGAAATATCTGAAAGCTCAGAGAGCTGTACCGCATTCCCTTTCTCCTGCTGCCTCCCGACATGTGCATATAGTGAAGACCATTGTCCTAAACTGCCTCTTTTCCAAGAAGCCAAGCAATGTTTCTAATTACTGTGTATTATCTTGGGGTCTTTAATACATGTAAAACACAGGCGCATGCGCACACACGTCTTCAGCATCACTTATACTTTCCTCACAGTGTTGAGTATACTAATGGCCCTTGGAAGGCATTCATCATTTATCATGCTGTGTATTTTATTTCTAGCATTTAATTTTATTATAATTTCCACCTCTGCCAAAATTCCCTATCTGGTGTTATGTGTTGTGTAGCGTTTCCATTAGAGTAATTTTATACAATGTTTGACAGTCTCTGTCTCAGTTAAGCAGCTGCTTGGATCCTTCTTTCTTTCTCCAGCCACGTAGCTTTCCAGATTTTGAGTTAGCTTTTTACTCTGACCTCAGATATCTGATGCATTCAAGAAAAGTTGTTGAAGTCTGCCCTGCTGTTTTCTTTTTTTATGAATAGGAGCAATGCTCTTTCCTGCTGTATACTTCTTTGTGCTATAACTGAAAGTCACTGGGTGGTTTTTAACAAATGTTCCAGGGTAAGTTGATGGGGAAAAGATGATTGTTTTCAAAAATGGTGCTAAAATAACGATATATATTTTAAATGCATCTAAATCTTTATGCTGTATTTTAAAATTATTCAAAATGTCATGAATGTAAACAATATACCTAAAAGTCCAAGATTTCTGTTGGCAAACAGAAGAAGCTAATAGTACTTTGAGTTATGCAGGGATTTTAAAGACAGAACACAAAGAAGCATGAAACATAAAAGCAAAAAAACAAGTTGGAATTCATTAAAATTTGAAACTGCTTTTCAAGATTTTATTATGAAAATGAAGAAGAGAACCACAGATTGGGAGAAAATATCTCCAATAGGTATGTCTGAGAAAGAAAGGACTTGCATCCACTTTATGTAAAGAATGTTATAATGTAATAATACAAACAACCCAGCTAAAAGGGGCAAAGGAAGAGGAAAATATTACAAAAGGCATTTCACAAAAAGATACATAGGTGGCCAATAAGTACTAGAAAAGCCTTAGTCATCAATGAAGTGCAAATTAACACTATCATGTGACAGTTGCTTATAGAGAAAATGACCTTACCTATGACCAGCAATTTCAGTTCTGGGTGTTTACCCCAGATATACCAAAGAATTGTACAAAAATATTTATAGAATCTTTACTCATAATAACCCCAAATTGGAAAGAACCAAAATGTCTATCAACAGAAAAAAGTATGAACAGTAACACTACCTTGTGACAGAATGCCACTCAGCAATCAAAGGAGCTGCTCATACCTGTAAGAACATGGATAGATCTTAAGATTGTGCTGAGCCAGGCACAAGAGAATGGCTATATTATATTATTTATTGCTTTATTTTTTGTATGAAGTTCTAGGAAAGATTTAATCAGGAGGGATAGAAAGTAGGCCATTGTTTCCTTGGGGGGTGCGGGGGAATGTGAGGATTTGCTGACTAGGAGAACAAGGGAATATTGTAATATGATGGAATGTTCTATTACCCGTTGTGCCAGTGTACAAATTTTCATAACTCATCAAAATGTAGTAAAAATGTGTACACTACGTATTACAGAAATTATACCTCATTCAATACAGTTGATTTTAAAATTGTAAAAGTGAATTTTGCATACCCAGTATGACAGGAGACTCAGTAGATTCTGAATTTACCAAATGGCTTACTGTCTTCACTACTTGAGTGTTTATTCCTTCTTCCTCTCATATGGCTGAGAGACCTCGGACAAGTCAGTTCTCCTTTATGTGCCTTAGTTCCCTCACTGGTGAAAGATTTATATCAATGCTAATTACCTGCAACTTTTTGGAGGCATTTTCTGAGTTAATCCATGTCAGGCAGTTAAAATAATGCCTGACAGAGTAAGTGAGCAGTAGGTCATAACTATCACCATTATCTTACTAGTATTATTAAACATCAAAATAAAGGTCTGTGTTTCTAAAAGAGCTTGAAGGAAGATTATAGCTCATAATAAAACAAGATAAATTAGGCCTGAGGGAGCTTCAGCCTTGACGTGATGGGTGTGGGAGTTCCTCACACTATGGCAGCCTCGATTTTGTACTTTCTGTCTGGGACACCATTCCTGAAAATGCTGAGACCTCAGGCCCTCTGTGTTTCTGTCAGCAGGCTGACATGACTAAGCCCAAAACACTTTCTAAGTTTCTAGTTCCCAGGAAATTGCTGTTTTATAAAGGCAGAAAAAGCTCCCCAGCATGATTTCACTTACCCCCGCCCCCCACTACTAACTTCCCTCTGGTGGGAGCTTTTAGAAGCCAGAACAAAGCTGGAGTACTATCAACCTTAGATTCTCTGTTACAATCCTGGGTAGAAGTTACACGCTACATGTATGTAGGGGAAATATAGGAAAATGGTCAGGGCCCCTCAGATGTTCAGAATCTTGCCAAGCATTAGATGTAAATATGCACGTGTGCTCAGGTGTTCCTTGGTTATTGTCTAATGTAATTGCGTATATGCGCCCACGTGTCCTGGGTTACAGACTTAAGTATGAAGGATAAGCATTAGATGTAAATATGCACGTGTGCTCAGGTGTTCCTTGGTTATTGTCTAATGTAATTCCGTATATGCGCCCACGTGTCCTGGGTTACAGACTTAAGTATGAAGGATGAGTGGCTCTGATCCACGGTGCCTACCCTGCCCACCCCCAGGGAGGCGGGGGGTCACGGTGAGGCCGCTACTGCTGCTGGAGGCTGGTGCCACTGCTGAGGAAGCTGAGGACTGAGCTCCTGTCGTCTGCCAATGGCTCCCAGGATCTTTCCCAGTTACCTAGCATGGACCTGCATGTGAGGGGTCTGGTGACCCAACCTGGCATGTGAGGGGTCTGTGACCCAGTCTGTACAGTGGGTGTGAAGGGTCTGTGGGCCCTAGCCCTAGCAATACAAATGGAAACTTAGTATAACCAAAATAATGAAATGTTTTGGCTTTAGTTATGAATTGCCCTAGCCATATGCTGCTTTGTGTTGCTTCGCCCCCCATGGATTTGTCACCCCACTTCCCCTGGGTGACGGATAGGCAAAGGATTACTCAAAGCCCATCTCTACTGAGCAGTGAGAAGCCTCGAAGTGGTTAACTTTCCCGGGACCCTCCAGCAAGAGGGATCCCTTCCTTGGGAAAATTAACACCAAATTGGGGTTCTCTTCCTGCATTTATTTTTCAGACCAGGAAGTTACAGGAGGAGAACAAAGGTGGGGTTATAGTTTAACAATATAGGCTGGTAACTCTCAGTGAAACAAGCCAGATGACAT